GCCAACCTTAGGTTAGTAACAGAGCTCAAACCGTTGGCGCCACTCATGTGTATATACATATATATACACATGTATGTGTGTGTGTGTGTGTGTGTGTGTGGGTGTATATATATATTTATATATATGTATGTATGTATACATAGGAGCCATGGTGGCACAGTGGTTAAGTGATATGGATGCTAACCAAAAGGTCCGCAGTTCGAATTCACAAGTCACTCCTTGGAAACCCTATGGGGCAGTTCTGCTCTGTCCTGTAGGGTCGGTATGTGTCAGAATGGACACCATGGCAACTGGTTTGGTTTTACATATATAAAACACTCAAGTTATTCATGTAGGATAGGAAAACAAAGAAGATACACATTTTGTCCCCTCCAACCCACCTTGCCTCCACTGTTTAGAAGGTCAACCACCCTTTTCAACGACAGAGTGCAGAATCTTCCTGAGACTTCACATGGGGAGAGAGGAGCTGCAGGACATGCCCTGAAATGGGCACGAACCACAGCAGTAGTGGCAGCCCTGCCTGCAGATCTGGCTCGGGCTCTCTCTTCCTCATCTCTCAAAGCCTCTTCATTCAGGGATGGGAATAAACTGAGGATTGTATCATGGATCTCGGCCAAAAACTCCAGGATTTCATCTTGCTGGTTTCAGCATGGGCTTGTGGACCCCATAGGAATTGACAGAGTGAGAGACCCTGGGAGTCACCTCAGGCCTGGCGGTCTTTCTCAAGGGCACAAAACATACTTTTCTGACTGTGAGGCATGCTAACTCTGATCAGGGACAGCAGGTAGGCGTGGGAGGAGGACAGGTGATGTGGGCCTAATAGAGGAAGAAGGATGAGATAACGTGTGCACTTTTAGCAGGGAGATACCAGCTTGAATTTAACGAAAGTACCCTCTGCAGTTTTTCCTTGAGGGTACTGCTCTAGGACCTCACAAGGTCAGCCTCTACCCTGAGAACCCTGTAGAGGAAATTAGAGTGAGGCTTAAGCTGCAGCTTGCCAGCTCTGCCTAGGGCTTGGTGGGGTGACAACAAGGGCTGGCAGTGGGCTCCTTTGTACTGGGGTCAAGGGGTCCTCTCAGTCCACTTTCATGGCCAACATATCAACGGTTGGCAGGGCCTCGGCCCCCTCCCCTCTGCTTCTCTGAACTTGACACCTCAGAGTCCCTGGGACCCTCTAGGAGAAAAGGAAGGATCAGCCCAGCCACCACCCCTGGCAGGGGGTAGACCCCCAGTGCTGACAACACAGTGGGGCCTTTTCTATCCTGGGTTCCTTGGAGACCTCAGTCCTCATTCAGGGTCCTCACTCAGCTCCAAGTAGGGGCTGGGACTCCTTCCTTCTGCCGACCAGAGGCTGCACCTGCAGACCAAGAATCTCCCCTCCCTTCAACCTTATGTACAGAAGTGAGGCAGCCTCATACTAATAGCCCTCCCTGGGCCTACAAGGGCTGAAAGCAGGGGCAGGGCCAGACTCTGCCTTGTTCCCTCCATTCAGCAGTGGGTGGTCCCCTCAGTCCTCACTCAGGGTCCTTGCTTTAACTCTGGACAGGGCCTGGGACTCTCCTCTCTCTTGACTTCACTCCTGTCTCTAATACTAAATCCTGTACTTTCTGAGACTCAACAGGAGGAAGCTAGGTTCTCCTTCTCAGGCCACACTTGCCCAGGTTCTCTCAAGGCTGAAAGCTGCAGCAGGCAAGTTGGGGGCCTATGGTGAATGGTCAGACCACCCTCACTCAGGGTCCCAAATCAGACTTTGGGGAGGGCCTAAGCTTCTTTCCTCTGCTGACCTGGGACCATTCTCCAAGGAGGAATTGAGCGGCAACTCTGGCTGACATTTATGCTTAGGGTCTCCCAGAGCTGACAATATGGGAGAGATTCTGTTATTGGATGGGTGGTCCTCGCAGTTCTTAGGGTTCTTACGTTGACTACTAGTACTACCTGGAAATTCTCCCTTTGTTAACCTGAGTCCCCTCCCATCAAATCAAGGCCCTCACCTTCCTGAGGCCACGGAGGCATAAAAAAGCTTCCCTGGAATGGTAGCAGGGGTGAGACTATGAGACCCCACATTTCTGGGATCAGTGGCCCCTTTCATTCTCACTCAGCCAAGATCTGAGACTCCTTCCTCAGCCCATCTGAGCCCTCCAGCCTCAGACGAAGGCCCTAAGATCCCTGACACCATCCCTGGAGGAAATGAGCAGACACTAAAGCCTGACAACTCTGCCCTGAGCCTTCCAGAGCTGACAGTAGGGTCGACACTCTGTGCTGGCCTCCTGCTTTCTGGGGGGGAATAGTCCCCTCTGTCCTCACTCAAGGTTCTCATTTTGACACTCAATGAGTCTTCAGTCCTCACCCTTGGATGATCTGGTACCAGGCCCTTCAGACCAAGGTCATCACTTTCCTGGGACCTCCAAGGCAGCCTTCAGGATGAGCCACATCCAGCCACATCTGTTTGGTTCTTCTGAGGGCTGACGGCATGGGTGTGTTTCTATGAGACTCCACTGTTCTATAGTCTGAGGTTCCCTTGCTTGTCACTCAGAATCCTCATCTTGGTATATATCAGAGCCTGGGACTCCTCCCTTTACTGACCTTAGTCCTTCAGCTTGAGAACAAGGGTCTTACCTCCCTGAGTCTCTAGATGGGGGGAGTAGAGTGTGCCACATCTGGCTATTCCTGCCTACGGCCTTCCATGCCTGACAGCAGGGACAGGGCTCTGTGTAGCCCTTTCTATTGTTGGAGGGATCCATTCATCAGCACTCAGGGTCTTCACCTCAATTCCAGTTAAGGCCTATTAGGAACTTCTCCTTCTGCACAATGTGGGTCACCACCAATACACCAAGGTCCTCACCTACCTGAGACATCCCCCCCCAGAGGAAATGAGAAATGAGGAGGTATCTTAGCCAGATACTTCTGCTCATGGCTGCCCAGTGGGTCCCCATTGTTCTGGGGTGGGTGTTTCCCTCATTTCATTCAGGGTCCTCACCTTAACACCTGACAAGTTCTGGGACTCCACCCTTGGTTGACTAGGGGTTGCTACCCTCAAACCAAGGTCCTCAATTTCCTGAGATCTCTGAAGTGGTCCCTGAGTCTTCAGGCAGGAACGCCAGGGGTCACTACATATAGATTCCCCGACCTCGGGTCTCTGAAAACTGACAGTGGCAGCAGAGCTCTCTGGCGACCCATGTTCTAGGGAAAATTTCCCTCAGTCCTTACTCAGGGTCCTCATCTTGATTCCTGGCCGACCCTGCAACTCTCTTTCTACATCCACTTAGACCAATGTTCTTGGGTCTCTGAGACTCCTGAAGAGTAAGTGAGGCAATGCTCAGCTTGACAACCCTGCCTAAGGCCTTCTAGGTCTGAGTGCAGGCAGGGCTGGTCTCTATGTGACCCCCTATATTCTTGGTGCTGTTCTCAGTCTCCATTCACTGGGGTCCTCATGTTGGCTCCTATCTCTTTAATGAAAGGCTTCGTATGAAATGTCACATCCCTGAAACACTTGAGCAATTTCCTTACTGCACACCTTGCAGAGAATGGGTCCCTGTCCCAAAGTGATGTGAGATGGCACCCTGCAGCACAAGGCAGGAGGCCCAGGATGGGTGGTGGGCTGTCAGAGAAAACATACACGCTGAACTGTTCCTTCTCTTCACCACCCAGACTTAGTCTTTTATGTAACTTATGTTCTAAAAGATTTACTTTCTACAGGGAAGGGGCAGTCCAGTATGATTTTGTGAGCCCCTGATCTTTTGAGGTTATCTGACACTGCATATGTTGTTATGTTGTTAGGTGCCATCGAGCTGGTTCCAACTCATAGTGACCCTATAGGACAGAGTAGAACTGCCCCATAGGGCTTCCAAGGAGCAGCTGGTAGATTGGAACTGCCAACCTTTTGGTTAGCAGCTGAGCTCTTAACTGCTACATATCACCAGGGTATATATAGATGATAATATTGCCACCGATTATTATCTTTTTTTTTTGTGCATTGCATACCTCTAATTAATTTCGGTATTCTTGTTACTCTGGCAATGTTTTTCACCCCAGTAATTGGGCACAGAGTCCTTCTATATCCACTGAGATACATTTTGTAGTGGTGAGAAGAAAAATGAATTAAGAGACACAAGGTCAGCCTCTGGCTGGGAGAAGTGGAACACTGTGGGCTCCAGATGGATTCAGACCAGGGATCTGGTCCATCTCTGTCACTTACTAGTCTTGTGAACTTGAGAAGTATGCAAGTGCTTCATCTGCAGAGTGAGACTGATAAGCCCCATCTTGTCCATCTGTGGGAATGTATGGACTGTAATAGAAAGCACAAGCACTTGGCAAACTGATAGGGAAATATTGTGTTTAACGAATGGCAGTTATCATATGGTTATTTTGAACTCAGAAAATAAAAGCGTTTCATCACAATTTTTTTTATTTATTTTTTTATCCAGTAGATATCATAAAATATGCAATGCTCTAGATCAAAAAGAAAACAAAACAAAAAACATTCCTAAATAAGGTAATCTAACCCAGGTGTGTGAGTGTGTCTGTACATATATATGCATCTTTTAATTTTATAAAAAGAAACATTAAAAGGGATAGGGCAAACCAAGAATTGCCACCCTTCACTTTTTAGAATTTTTTCCTTCCATTTTGCAATCCTAACTATTTTAATGTGGGGTTCTTTCACATTTCCATGAAAATCCCTATTCCAACACTATGTTATCTAGTATTCTAGAACATCAAGAAAATATTGAAGATTTTTCAAGTAGTTTTATCAGTAACGAAACTTTACCTCTTAAACCTGATAAACAACAAAAAACGTAATGACCATACCATTCGTAAACTTACATTCTGAAGCAAAATAAACCTTACATTAAAAGGCACAACAGAGAGAGAGGAAGAACTATAAGCTACTCAGGAACACAAAGAAGATACACATTTCGTTTCCTCCAGCTCCACCTCGGCCCCTGCTAAGAAAGTTGACAGACATTTAACCACTAAGTGAAGAATCTGCTCCTACTTCACTAGATGCGAGAGAATCTACTCGACTTGGCCCTGGAAGATGCACTGGCTGTAAGAGTAGAACTAGCCGTGGCTGCAACTTTGGCTCCGGCTCTCTCTTCCTCATCTCTCAAAGCCTCTTCATACAGAGCTGGGAAGGAACTGGGAACTGTATCGTTGTACTTGGCCATGAAATCCAGGACTTTCATCTTGGTGGTTTCAGCTTGGGCTCTGGGACCCCACAGGAACTCGTAGCATGGAGGATCACTGTTGGGCACCTGCCGGTACTCCAGGTACTTATCCTGCACTAAATCTTTGGTGATGAACTTCCTGGGCTCCCCAAAGAGTAAGTGGCTCCTCCCAGCGTAGATCCCCAACGCATTCAGGAATTCCCAGATATCTTTCTCAGTGGCCCGGTTGCCATTCACGAAGATCACGCCCAGGAGGGTCATCAGGAGACCTGTCTTGGGCAAACCTGTGCCACCACACAGACTTCCTCCTTTGCTGACATCCAGCTGGCTGATGAGTTCATAGGAGTTATTGCTGGGGTTGGTTTCCTTCAATTCGAGGCCAAAGACCAGCTCCATGCGCTCAGCGGCTCTCCTCAGGATCTCAGGAAATTGCTGTTTATACTTTCTGTTGATAAGCTTCAG